ATTCATACTTTAAGATCAGCACCAGCGTTCTGCAAGGAGATAGGTCATTGGGGAAACACGATGAGAGTCTGTCTGCTGGTTATTGAGCTTCTTCAACTGGCAGTGCCCAAATATCACGCGCTCCACTGGTGGTGCTGACCCACAAATCTCCACAGCTTTACATCGTTTACTTTTGTTTCGTTCAAGGAACGTGAATTTGTTTTCCGTCCATAAGTGTGCACAGAAGTAAAATGATGGCTACAATTTTCTTCCTAACACTGTTACTATTGATCGTAATGTTATCCAGTGTCATGGTTAATCTATGGACGATTAGTTTGTGTATTCAACACCAAAAAAGTTACAATAATGGTAACCCGTACTAAATGGCTAATATCATTGGTTGTTGATCAGGTGGCTGTTGATCTGTTCGCCGAGCTTGGTGATTGGCTTGCAAACGTTTCGTCACCATACTAGGAGACATCATCAGTGCACAGTTGGGTAGGTACTTCTTCCTTGCCTGTGTGCGTTTATATAGCATGCAAAGGCTATCTGCTATATTCTGACGTGATTGGCTACTTGAAGTGTAACGGATTTAGTGAATCTATTTGTCCATTTGTGATCTTTGTTGAGTCATGGTCTTCGTTCCTTTGTGCTGATTGGTTATCCCAACGCCTTCTAATTTTAATAGCTTGTTCTCTCTGGCCTGGATTCGCCTTGCGTTGTGGTCTTACGTTCTCGAGTTTGTTTGGTTGCTTGTACCGCCTAATTTCCTCCATCGTGGCGGTTAGTGTCCCTGCGTCCGCCGGTTGATTTGGTGCATTGGTTGGGCGCCTCCCTCTTTTGATGATCAGCGTACCTATATCAGCACACGTACACAAGTTTTTAGCTAATCATCCATGTATTTAGAAATCTTTGATCAAAGGTTTACCATATATTGTAAAATCTTTGCAAGTTTTCTTTTGAATTAGAAAAAGGGATTGCACCGTTTCACTATTGGGCTTTTGTGTAATGAACGAAGTTGAACCTAATATCAACGAAGGATTTTTTAATTTTAAATGTCTGGTATTTCAAAAAATTGTCCATTTAAACAACTCGCTCCGAACAAGAATACGGAATACGGAATTGGGGCAAACTTGACACATAAGACTGTGGACATCAGAAGCACTGCGCTGTCAGAGATATCATTTATGGCTTTACCTTCGGCAGGCTCCCAGACTGTTATTCAGGCAACATTTAGCTTGTCTGAGGAGTTGTCCGACAACAAACAAGCCGAGATCAAACTAGCGAAAGCTGTTAATCCATCTGCACACATTGTTTGGTTTTAAATGGAGACTCAGATAAAACCCCCTGTTTATAAAATCAACTAAATGAAACGAAATACGCCACTTAAAGGTCACCTCTCATTTCAGTTGGAGAGACATTCGAGATATCGCAGTCCAGTCTTGTGACATAACTCACTACCCACCACTCATAACTCACTACTCATAAATGAGGGTTTCAGTTAGAACTCTTGTTAACACCAAATTCTTTTACCTCATGTATGGACTTCGCCATATACCTCGTTGGTTTAGCTTTCAAGTAGAAAATTAAGGAGCTACGCCTTCCAAGATGGGTGAGACCGGTCGTGAACTGTCGAGGTGTTGTTCACAAACTTATGAGTAGTGCATTTCACCGAGAATCTACTGTTTCGGTAGAATTGAATCAGATTCTGATAAATGCTTGTTTGTTCACAATAATGATCCCATGAATATGTGCCACTTTTATCTGGACAAAAAGAAATCGAAATGAGGGCTATTTGAAAACGATGATGACGTTTGCAGGGACAACGAAGCCTTTTGATTCTTACAAACCTCCACTCTCGCCTCAAAACATATTCGTTGCTGTCCATTGGATTTCTGGGATGGAAGATCCCAAGTTTCAATGGAGCAGCATCCACGTGACGACGTTTTGTGAAGCGACACTGTACTATTTCCCCAAGTCTGGCATGAAATATTTGTACTTTTGTCTCAACTTTCACCGAATCAGGGAGCAATGAACAGAGCATGTGAAGAACCTTCTTTCTGACAATAAAATGAAAGACAATGAACGGGATTCCGTGAGTTATTCACATTCCGTTGTGACACAAATGAGGAACCCTGTCAACAGTTTTCATGTGTGTTAGGAGAGAATCAATGAACTTGCTGCAACCCGTGATCAAAAAGGACTATGCTTCTAGATGATTTCCTGGACTGGCCCGGTGGTACTTTAAAAGTAACCCGGAATGTTGTCGTAGAGGATAGGTCGCAGATTTTTCAACACAATTTGGAGCATCCTAATTTCTTTCCTACTTCGACTGCTTCATTTATTTGACTAGCTAGAAATGACCACGTTATCGCACCAGTAGCTGAACACAGAGCTCAAAAAGACGTTTAATAAATTCCAAGACAAACTACTACACATGCACACATCAACAACGACTTACGGAATTCTGCTGATCATAGGAGTGCAAGCTCTCCGAATGTGAGTGTGTTGATTCAGGCGTGAGACGTCCATGCCTTTGGGCGTAGAAGTCATGCTCGTCTTGGCGAGTGAGAGCAATGTTGCTGTCGGAGGCAGGAGACGGATTGCGATTGAAAACAAATTACATTTCGAACGACATAACAGTTCATTGTTTAATTGATGAACTCGTCTAATCTGTTTCTAAGTTAGCATTAAAACTACCGTCACAACTTGCTGCTGGACCTGACCAGGTGGCTGACTTGCCGTATAGCTGCTCCAAAGTACTCAGTATCCCGCAGGAGCATTTCTTTCCAATTAGCTTTTGGATCCACAGTTTAGACAAACGGACGGTCTTAGGATTCGAAAAAAGATCAATTCTTACCAAAGGGCAGTTGGCTCAGGACTGACAACTGTGTGGTCTTGTCAGACCATTCACAGTTGTGACACTTAGTCTGCACCCCAAAATTACTGAGCTTGTCGGTACAGTGCGGTACATTACAGTACAGTGTATTACAGTACACATAAGTAGTCATAAATTATGCACCGTAGATATGTTGGCTAAAACACTTTACAGTCCCGTGAAACACGCTCAGTTGCATACCGATTTGTTTTGACGAGAGACTCACCTGGAACCCAACTGATTCTTTCGTTCACGCTGTTCTTAGGCAAATGAATGTGGCGCACCAGACCGCCTCTTGTTTCAGTTGACATGCTATTTGAGCTATTTCGATGCATCATACAGACGAAGTGCTTTAGATTGTCATAAACAAGAGATTCAGCTGGGCTTCAGGTGAGTCTCCCGTCAAAATCAAATTGGTATGCAAATGAGTGTATTTTGCTAATTTCGTGCGATTTGGATTCAAGTAGAACATAGGGTTGACGGAAACTTGGGGATTGAGACTACCCAATCAGCTTAAAGCAGAAGGGCGAACCTGGCTGTGGGCTGTCAAACAGTCTTCGACAACCTTATGAGTAGTACTGTATTTTCTCTTACCAAAAAAGAGAAACCAGAACATGAATGACCCGGTATTGGAGACAATCATCTAAGCTGTTTAATAATTTTTAGTCGTTCCAGTTATCTAACCGAGTGGTAAAATGGACAGTCACACATTGAAGCACTGGCCTTGATACAAGACTACTGTTGACTGTGTGACTGAGTAACGTCCATTATCATCCATCCATGAGCCGAATTCCGGGTCTTCCATCCACGGAAATAGGCCAACTAAGTTTACTCGTTAGGGCTTTCATACTAGCTTTCGAGGTAACAGACTTTCCACTTCACGTTCATTTCCTGTTAGTACAGGAATGGGATAAACGAGTACTGTGAGGTAGACGGTCCTATGACATGCTGCTAAACAAGAAAGCCGATAGAGACTGATTAGCTCAGCCTCGTCACAGTTCCTTTTTCCTAAAGCAGTGTGATGGACGTCGGCAGCTCTAATCCGAGGTTCCCATTAGATCTGAGAGGAAACACCTACAATAAAACGCCCCAATTTTTCGTATATCTTGTGCACATACAGGCTTCCTCTCTGATCTACAGTGCAGAAACTACATTGCCGGTGACAGACAAACTGACGTCACGCCGGTGCCATGTGTCTCAGGTTGACAAAGAATACTCTAGCCTTTCTGACTGAGAAGTGATGTTGTATTTAGCCAGTCCACTGCGACCTTCGCGAATGTTCAGCTAAATAAATTGACTGATCTGCATGCACTCGACTTCGGTTTGATCATATTCACACCTTTACACTTTGTATTCATAGAAAGCATGCCAAACGTGACTGTAGAATTAGTTAAAATGGTCATTTTCTCAAAAGAATTTGAACTAAGAAAATTCATGTCTTTTGCTTATTCGAGGTCTGTGAGCATACGCCGAGAAAACATTTTCAACCCCTAGGGGTCACAGGCTGTCAGAGACGTCTCAAACACCATATGAATAACATAGTTGATGATGTTGATGCCGAAGAATCAGTTTTGTCTCAGGCCACTGGACATAGCAAACATTGACAAACGTTTTTTTGTGGGATCGTAAGCGCCCACGGGAATCGGTATACAGGACTCTTATGGGAGGGGCATATCTGATCGCTAGACCTGCCATTGTTTCTGGTGACCCGCATTGTCTAAAACAGCCTTCAGCTCAAGAGATGCTATGGTTGCTGGAAGGTTGTCTCAAAAGGAATAGGTGGGTAGTGAAGCACCGACAGGTCAAACTCCGGCTTGAATCACACGAAGTTTTCTCTCTACGTAACCTGTCAACCCAGTAATCATCCTGGATGGTACAGCCAAAAGGCTAACGAAACGATGAGGTGTGATGCATAACCACTCCGCTGCTCGTGGTAGCCCATTGATTTGGCACGGCTGCCTCCATGACCCACCGCGACAGATGTTATGTCGTTATCACGACATATTGATTTCCGCTGGTCATCACCGGGAAAGGGCCGATGACGTCAACGGGATCATAATCCGCCGGCCTCTAATGCAGGAATGTGTTCCATAGGATGAGTTGCTACTGTCCTATCCCCTTTCATCAGTTGGCAGCAATCACCTCACTCATCATCCACGGCCAGTAGGCCCTCCCCATCATCATCATCATCATCATCATCATCATCATCATCTTCATCATCATCATCTTCATCATCATCATCTTTGACAGCATGACGTAATTTCTGAACATCTTTGCTTATACGCCATGCAAACAACTTATTTAAGCAACCCTTCGTAGTTGAAGGATAGCATCTAAGAAAAGACCTAGTGCCAGTCTATACAACCAGCTCATCTTTAGGCACTGTCTCAGATGATATGGATGGAAATATACAAAGANTGAATCACACGAAGTTTTCTCTCTACGTAACCAATCAACCCAGTAATCATCCTGGATGCTACAGCCAAAAGGCTAACGAAACGATGAGGTATGGCCATGATGTGATGCATAACCACTCCGCTGCTCGTGGTAGCCCATTGATTTGGCACGGCTGCCTCCATGACCCACCGCGACAGATGTTATGTCGTTATCACGATAGCTGCCTCCATGACCCACCGCGACAGGTGTTATGTCGTTATCACGATATATTTATTTCCGCTGGTCATCACCGGGAAAGGGCCGATGACGTCAACGGGATCATAATCCGCCGGCCTCTAATGCAGGAATGTGTTCCATAGGATGAGTTGCTACTGTCCTATCCCCTTTCATCAGTTGGCAGCAATCACCTCACTCATCATCCACGGCCAGTAGGCCCTCCCCATCATCATCATCATCATCATCATCATCATCATCATCATCATCATCATCATCATCATCATCATCATCATCATCATCATCATCCAACCATGATTTATTTGAAAGCCTTATTGTATAGGGAAGAGTAAAGGTGGACGGGTAAAGGATCTAGTGTTAGCTTACCACAATCATTCTGAGGTGCCTATACCTCCAGAGATTCACTCAGGGGATCTGGATAAAAACTGACAACAAGAACACCACTGACACCTGTTGGCAGCCATATATTGTAGTGTCTCCAACCAGGCACAGTGAGGATCACATGGTCCCCATCCTGAAAGGCGAGTAGCACCGACAGCGCCCAAGCGTTTCATGATCTCCTTCATACTCAAGTCAAGAGTTGGCCACCTCTCTGCCTCCGCCACTCTGAATTTGGCATGGAAAACAGCACTCCCTTCGGCAAACGGTGGTTTGGCATACGCAACACATGTTCCAACCAACGCAGCTTCTGGTGCTAGACACATTCTTCAGTGGAAGTACCCGTTGTACAACCGAAAACTCGCTTTCCAACTGCCTCATTACGGATTTGCCGACACCAACCCACACGAGCAATCGTTCTGAGACAACGATTATCAAACACCTGAACACGTCTCAGTTCCGCTGCCAGAGCAGGCCAAGTCTCATATCCATACAACAAAACAGCCGGTACTGCAGCCGTACGTCTTGATGTAGCCTGTGTGTGTCATTTCATTGCATTCGACGATCAGCTTCCGTCTCAAGACGCGAGGTATCATGGGCAGCACAACATCAGAATCGGTGGCGTTGCAGGATGGGATCTGGATGCGACCCGACGGTGTTCTTCGCCAGCCTGGAGCAGTCGTTGGATCGGACTTTGCCGGGACTGGACGGGGTGTCACGCCAGCAGTTGCTGTCTGACCAGTTCGCTGAAGGTGCGCCGCCTGCGTCTGATGCCCAGTTGCGCTTGGCGAGAGAAACTGGCCAGTCGACATCAATATCGACAGGAAAAGGCATGTTACCTTACAGGGAGCTTTCACACCCATCTAGCACTCCGAACCTAGAATAAGAGCAGTGACCCCTATCCACTTTAACAAGCGATCAGTGTAGGCATTTTCCCGACTAACAGACGTTTTTTACACTTCTCTTAGAATAATGTACTAAAATGCACGGTAAACCAGAAGATAATTTAGTTGTGAAGGTAACAGTTCGTGGTAGCTCGAAATCTAGCCTTTGGACAACGCCAAGTTTCTGCAGGCCGCAGATTCACCGGACGGGTGAAGCGGTGGGCAGGCTAAATTTCGCTGTTTGATTTGTATCGTCATAAAGATGGAATCATCATAATCAAATCCGTGGTTTTCTTTCTGGCACAAACCTAAATCAATTTTGTTCCGGGATTCCTTGGTTCTTGGTAACGAGCATGTAAGTGTGGATAAAGAGGTTACTCTCTATGCCCCAGGTTCCGGATCATTTTGCATATAAAAGTGAGGGTTTCACCAGTCAGCCCAACACATACTGGTGATGACGTTCTATTGCAACTTACAAGGCAAATACGACAGAAACCTAACCGTAGTCCTTTGCAGTTGGACCGATTATCTGGCAAAATCATGAATGTTTCCCCTTGAAGTATGAACTGGGAAACAATACTTGGTTTGGATGGACAAGTTGAGGGTGGCTGATACTGCGAAGCAGCAAGCAGACGGAACGCGTAATATCGGGCAATGGCGCTCTTTTGGTGTCAGCACTAACGTGATGGAAACTTGCTGTGTCAACAATTCTATGTTCATACAAAAACCCCTCCAGTTTGGTCTGCATGTGAGACATATGTGACTGAATGAGATTCGACCACAGAGGAGTGATCGATCAGTCTTCGCAAAATAATGAATGGTGATCGATAAACAATCCAATGTGAGAATAGGCAATGTTTTTTATTCTGCTGCAATCGAAAATTCGCCTCACAGGGCAGTAACTCCATGGTCCATGATACGCATCTGATTGTGAACATGGGTCCTGTGAATTATTTTGCCATTTGGCAGCGAAGTATGAAAGCCATTACAAGCAAACTTATCTGACCTGACTATTGCCGTCTTCCTGGATGGGTACCCGGAGACGGGCCTTACCAATGATTAGAGACATGGCCCAGTTACGCCCTCAATGGCGCTCGTGCATCTAAGCTACTGCCTTCACTGCATAGCTCTCTTCCCAATCCCGCTACTTAACAGTCCACCAACGGTGCTGTATTTACGCACTAATTTATCAACTCCCGCGTGGCTACCGACCCCACCTCCCCGAATTATCGGTGAAGGAAACTGTGGCTGTTACAACCACTGTACGACAACTACGCGGTTATTACAGCTGGCAATGATGGTAATGATGGTGGTGAAGACATCATGACTGAAAAATGTCGAACAG